TTGTCAATCCTCTTAATCTTCTATTCAAACATTTCCAAAAATCGAATGCTGAATTCAATGAGAATGATTTTCAAGAAAACCTTTTCTTAGCTTATTTTTACCAAAAAAAAAAAAAAAACTGTGTGCCACCATCACTGGCATCCCATCTAAGAGGAAAAATGTAGTTGTAGTGCATTCCCATTTATATTTTACTTTTTAAGTTCACCATAATGATTATGAGGAAACACTTGGGCCAGTTTCTCTGTCATCCTTCACTGTGGTGAAGAAAATAGAATTCTTCAATGGGCTGTGATGTATGTGTGCTTCAGGAATGGGAAAATGGCTTGAAGAAAATGGTTAGTAAGTTGAAAGTAATCATTGTAATTATCATATCAGGGCAATAATGAAAAAATTCAAAGCATGTAGCAATGCTAAAAATCTACTTGGAAGTGGGCGTGTACCTAATTCGAATACTGGCACTGGTCGGAGATGGTTCAAGTAGTCAAAGAAACGCCACGCATCACAGTTGGAGAATTGCAGACATAATGTCTTTGGGCCAGAAAGTCCCCTAACCTGCAATCAGATGGCATCTACAGTGCCAGATGACGTGGAGAGTTGCCGGGAAAAAACCTCTGCTGTCATCAAAAAACGAAACTCATGCACCTGCAGTTTGCCAAAGGGTATTGGAGCTTCCAGTGGGACCTCTATCTATGGTCACATTAGACCAAAATAGAGCTCTTCAACAATGGAACCCAAAGGTGAATTTCTAAAGAACCCCATCCCCACTGTGAAGTATGGTGATGGATCTCTGATGTTGATGTTGTGGGCATGTTTTTTTTTTTGTTATTTATTATTATTATTATTATTATTTTTTTTTTTTTTTTTTTTCAAAAGGCCCAGGGTCGGGGATAACTAGTTAGCATTCATGGTATCATGAATTCCATCAAGTACTAGCAGATATGAAATGAAAACCTGACTGCCTCTGCCACAAAGTTCAATATGGGCCATGGTTGGATCCCACCACTGAACAATGATCCACAGCATACATTGAAGTCATGGTAAAAATGGCTCTAAAGCATTCTTTGAAATCAACACAGTGATCACAGGAATGAGATTCTGCTCGCAGAAATGGTCTCCGATTCTTAGCCATGTCTTCTTCAACCTCAGTACGTGATATATGATAAGACTGAGAACCATTGCCTGGACTGCACTAAGTATTCAATAAAGGGGATCCAATAATTGTAGCCCTCATAAAAAAAAAAAAAAAAAAAAAAAACATTATTTCATGATCATTATTCATTCAATAATTGTGATTCAATTACTTTGTCTGTAATTTGAATTCAGTATGGAAAGAATAAACAGTAAAGACATTGTAATTTGAATTCAGGTTTGAGATAAACAGTAAAGGCAATAGTCCATAACCATATTTCTTCATACCACTGGTTTGAATATTAGTAGAAGGCATTGTATATTGGCAGGGATTTGAAAGCATTTCCTTGTGACCGGCCTAGAGCTTATGGCTGTGGTTCATGTCCCCCTAGTAGTACTGACTCTCGGTTCACACACTCACATACACACACATACACGTACGCACGCACACGCACTCATATATACACACACATGCACACACTCACATACACACACACACACGGAAACAACAGTGTGTTTTGCTGACGGATACTGGAACCTACACGCTGCCTGTGGCCCTCAGTATGCGTGCTCTTCTGGAAATGTTCTCATCTATTGCTTCAGAGCTGCAGGAGCTAGTTAGATGGACTGGTTTGGCAATAAAAAGTGAAAGAGAATGGTGACATCCCCTGCGCTATGTTACATGCATAATATCAATGGGGTAGTAGGACTTCAATTTCGACTTGCATGTGACTTTTCTTTGCGTGGTTAGTTGCCAACAATAAACAATCTCACGTTTCATGACATTTCCTGTTGTGACATTACTGTGATAGTTGGTTCATGACTGCAGTCTTTGCCTCGCACTGTAAAGGGGGTTACCCCTCTGTGAGTGGCAAATTTCAGAGAAGAAACCCTTATTTTTCTGTCGAACCTTTGACTCTCACTGGGCATTCATTCCAAGGGTATTCTTTTTGCACACATGAGAAAATAAATGGAACTCCTTGCCTAAATCCAATGATGATGCTCCCTTTACAGCTGAGATACTAAATCTAAGGTTTACAGTAATGATTCATTTTTCATTCAGTCAAGCTACAAAACAAATGCATTTGCTCTTTTATCTGATTGTTATTTGTTACAATAAAAGTTGAGGACAGGTTATAGTTGAATTTTCTACTGGAGACAGACACCAATGCCAAGCTTTTGTGAGATGTAGAATTTTTATTGGTGAATTTGATCTACTGTGAGTGTATAGCCTTGAGGAGGCTCTCTTGCTAATATGCAAACCTTGTGGTTTTGGACGAGCCCTGTCATTCTTTTAGCTCATTTATAGGGAATGCTTTTCAAAGGCATCCGTCAGCATTGGCTTACAGCCTTACTCCAGTAAGTCAAACAGTGGGTTGGCAGTTCATTTCTGTAGTATAGTATGCTCACCAATTGAATCTTTTTTCTTTCAAGGAACAGAACATCATTTGAAATGGCACATTTTCATGACCGTATTATTGGCACATTTAAATTACTTCTGTAACATGACTTCTTTTGGAATGCTTAAATCTGTGTCAGTGGAAACATTGAATACAGTTGTTCATGGCATTCAATGTAGGAGTGTTTTTGAACACAAATACATGGTATTTGCTTAACAAGTGAACCAATTTGTTGTGCTGAAAAAAGCGTCTTGACTTCAATAGTATTTATTTATTTATTTATTTGTTTGTTTACTTGTTGACTTATTTTCACGGACAAAGACTTTTGCTTAGAGGGAGAGAGAGAGAGCGAGAGAGAGTAAAAGAGAGAGAAAGAGAGAGAAAGAGAGGACACTAGTCCCAAGTGAGTTTTGCACACAATTAGCATGGAGTAGAGGGCCTTGGAGAGGTAACAAAGACAAGCTCCTGAATAGTTACCATGACCTCTCCTCTGGAACGTTTAGCCTGCTGGTCCGGTTCAAAAGAATATGTGACAAATTCATGGGTTTGCTAACAGAAAACTTTGATTTCCACCTTGGGTTTGGAAATTTGAACCAAACTCACAAAAGAATAATATATGTATATATTTTTTTGCTTTCCATGATAAAATGGTGTGAATGAGATCAGCATACACTTTGCTTTTGATGGTCTGAAGAGAATTATTTGGTGACTGGGGGAGTTTGGGTGAACTGCATTCTCACATGAGGGGAATACTGAACAGAAAAAGACCAAAGCAGACAAGGTGATAAAAGCAAGATATTGCCAAAGAATGTGGAGCTATAACGCCTGTAGAAATGCAGCTTATTTGGAATTGGGTCAAAATATAACTCAACTTGTGCCAGGTTTGTAAATATAGAAAAGAAGAGCTAGAACAGCTGCTTGTTGTTCCAGAAATTCTGCATCTTGTACAAAAGCATGAAAGTCGATAGTGTACGCAAAGCTGGAATGCCTGAAGACGTTTTTCCCTCACTGCCAACAGGAAGTTATGAAGGTCTCACTGCAGATGGTGTACAGACACATGCTAAAAAGAGCTGGGTGGATCTCTTTACGGTCGAGCCCTTTTATATGCAGCTTTTATCACCATCTCGTGACAACTTGCCATTGTAGCATCAGTGGTCAGTGAACATTTAAGCCCATAAAATTATACCATGACCACTCTGTGTCTATTTTCACGCCAGACATTTACCGATGTCATTCTCACGATTTTCATATGTATCATTTCAGAGCACGCAACATGCTCTGCAGATTATTAATGTTTGCGTCCAGCATAACAGGATTCCTTTATGGTGGTGGAGATTCTATGTGTAGGGTTGATGCTTTTCTGTAGTTAGGTCACACAAGTTTTTGCCACTGCCAGTTAACTCCCAGTTGTAGCACTTTAAAAGGCCCAGTGTGGCTGGACCAATGGGTGTAGGGGGACGATAAGGGAGAACAACCTCGATGATGGAAAATTCAGCCTGCGTGTCACAGAAGAGGTCGGCTTGCTTCAGATTTACTATCGGAATGAGTTTCTTTTTGTGAGCTTTCAGTGCCACCTCTGCCCCTCGTCCTTTTGGGAGGGGCAAATTCTTGTTTAACACTTTGAGTAGTTTCTTGGAGTGTTTCTCAAAATTCTCAGTCAGCATTTTAGAGCTCCATTTTGGAGCTGGGTTCTATCACCAATACTGTTCTTGCAGTGGTTGTTGATTGTGCAACCTGTGATTGTTCGTTCAGGATTAGAATGTTCAGTTTCGCAAAATTGTGTTTCTTCATAAATGGTCTGAAGGGCTCTGGTGAATATCTCTGCTGCACCACCATTTGGAAATGCATTTTTCCCCCGGACGCTCTTTTTTAATCATTTTTGATTCGGTTAAAAAGCCCCCTTAGGCAGCAAACTCTGTTTGTCTTGCTGTTGAAACTGGGCCATAGTCTAATGAAGGCTGTATTGGCTGCTGGCTTTTGGAAATATTTCTCTTGGGTTTCTGACTGGTGTTTTCTGTTTGTTGCGTTGATCAGAAATGTGTCGCTCACCTGTATGAGCAGACAAATTGGAATATTTCCGCTGGCACCTTTGGTTACCTCAGGTGGTACAAATGGAGGACGTAAAGCGCTTCCTGGAAATTGATTTCGTTCATGTGGACATGGGGATCAAACCACGCCAAGGACAAAAGATAATGATTATGTGCCTTAGATTCTTTCAGTACTGTCACATCACAGGTATTACCGTGTGTATGTGCGTGCATATGTCCATGCAAATCAGTATGTGTTCTGCATTTGTGCAATGTTGTGTTATTTTTTGTTGCAAAAAATACTTAAGTATGTTCTGAGACCTTTTGAGAGTGAATACTGTATGTGCTGGAAACGCTCAACACCAGTGATCGACAATATTTCTAGAATCACCATCAAGGGTGGATTTTATTTATTCTAATATGACATGATAGCACATATTTGGCAGCACGGTGGCACAGTGGTTAGCATTATTGCCTTGCACTAAAGAGGTTCTGGGTTTGAGCCCCAGCCAGCCAGGTCCTGTTTGCTTGGAGTGTGCATGCTCTCCGCGTGATTGCATATGTCTCTCAGGGTTCTCCAGTTTTCCCCACCCTGAAAGATCATGTTCTGTTGGTACACCCCTACCATTGCCCCTGATCAAGGCTTTGGATTTCAAACTGGAGTTGGTCCCAGGGTGCTGCACTATAGCTACACACTGCCCCTTAGAAATTAAGATGGGTCAAGTGCAATGGACAAATTATCAAATGTGGTTCAGTAAAGTATATCTCATCTTTATGACAATGATTTTACAATCTGAGTGTGACCTACTTTATAATGATGCTTTATTTTGATATAAACTGCAGCGGAATCTATTGGTACTCGTGATTATCATGACCTGCGCCAATCAGCGTTGCTTGTGTCCCGTCCCAGGTTCTCGCGATCGGACGAGCTGTCCCGACACCGGCGCTCGCACTCGGGGGTAAAGCCGTACCAGTGCCCTGTTTGCGAGAAGAAGTTTGCCCGCAGCGATCACCTGTCCAAACACATCAAAGTCCACCGCTTTCCCAGAAGCAGCCGGACAGTGCGCACGACAAATTGACCCTCTGATAACACCGCCGTGGACTGAGGCCAGGAGGGGAGGGGGTGCCCGTGTGTGTGTGTGTGTGTGTGTGTGTGTGTGTGTGTGTTTCCGAGCCCACGCACACACACGCACGTATGTAACTATAAATGGAAGGCTGTGATAAGGTACTGTGATAAGTTATTGTTTGAAAGTGAAAATTCAACACGAACAAAAAAGAACACTGTTACTCAATTTTACTTCGTTAAACTTTTCTTGCCAATTTTGTTTTTTTGTTTCATTTTAATTTTTAAAGTGGAAAAAAACACCAAGCTATTTCCTTCTAAATAGTTTTAATTACTATTTTATACATATCATTCTTACGGTTTTTATTATCAACGATGGATGAGTTGGCGCTCGTGTTGTAAAATGATTCATAAAGGAAGTTGAGCCCGTTCTTTTATGTTTTCACTAAACTGTATTCAGTGCTCTGTCTCTCTCCCTTTCCACGTGCTATCTGGAACAATTGGCACTACTGACACTTACGTACATAATTTTTCACAATAAGCTATAGGGGAAATATGCAAAGTGTTCATTGGCATTTATCGTGAATGACATGGAAAAACCTGAACATTGAGCCTTTAAGTAGGGGTTAAAGGCCGGTTGTTTATTATTCACTAAATCTATGAAGCGAAGCTACAAAAAGAAATACGCACATGAATTGATTGTATGTACATAAGTAAACTGGCCTTCTGATCAGTATTGACTCATGATCATTTCTACTGTTTATATGTTTTTTTTTTTTTTAAACCTGCCTTATTTCCCCACGTTTTTTATTTTCTATCATGTAATAGCACTTGCAAGGCCATTCATTTGGAGAAAAAAAACATTGCTTGGCCATAGCATCATTGTTTAAGGAGATTGTTAATGTCAAATTTTAGCATGTATAGGAAAGACGAAGTGTTTATGGGCTAAATGCTGTCATAATGAGAGCTAAAACATACGATCACAGTTCTTTGCGAAGCTGTGAATGTTTTATTGATACAGCTCTGGAGCTGAATGTCCCATTTTTGTATTTGTTTCATACAAAAACTGCCTCAAGTCATCAAACATTGTTACTGGAATGCCCATCAGCCTTGGATACACATGAGAATAGCTGGTGCTCAAATTGACTAGAACTGGAAACATTTGGTGCTAAAAGCTCTTGGACAACCCAGCAGCAACCTCACAACTTGTTCACTGAGTGGTGGACATTGTCCAGTACCTTCCTGTATCGCTTTGAACTGAACAGCAGCTTTGTATGTGGAAATGAACTGCGGCAGACTTGTGGATCTGTCATACCACCCATTTGGCCTCGAAGTTCCATGTGTGTTTTCAGAAACAAGCTGAGGGACAGTATAACTGTACAGTGATGCATTCCTTCCATTCAATCTTGAATTATTTTAATGCTTGTAATAACAGGTGTTTATCACATCCTATGAATGTATGTAAATAAGCAGAAGTGTACATAACTGCCTCTGTATGAAAGATTATTATAAATAACATCTTAAGTCTGTGATTTGTGGAAAATTTTAGTGTAAGTGGCAAACCTGTATATAGCGTAACAATTCAGTATATATAAATATATTATATTTTTTTCTTTGTTCTACATAAGACGCATTTACAAATAAAAATGAAAACAAAAAGTTTTGTATTTTGTTTCCATCATTTTTGTATATCCTGGATAAAATGTGCGAGAAATTGTATTTGCATTTACATGAAATGTGGTCTACAGCGTGAGATTAAATCTCTTAATGTGCTTCATTTGCATCAGTGTTCTCTGAGAAGAGAAGTAATTATGACTGGAGAACGAGCAGTTTTTCACAATGTAGGTACAGTATGTGCTATGCGAATCGCAGAACAGTGAGTAAATTAGCCATTTGTTTCTCCTCATAGAACTGGTGATCTTTGGATTATCTGATCTCTTGGGGCTATGCAGGTATTGTTCAGGTATTTATTAGCCATAGTAGCGAAGAAATCCAGTGTAACTCTTTGAAATCATCCAAACAATAACAGGTTTGAACACTGAAGTTTCTGATTAATCGATGACTAAAAGGATGTCAAAACCTGATTTTTGGAAGATTGGATTTTGAGCTTTTATTCCCTTCTAGGAATACTGGAGCGTGGACAGTGAGCTGCTAAAAGTTGCACAGTTGAGAAGCTGAGAGGGATGTTGGTTGGGTTGTTGTTGCTGCTCAGATTTATACCCTGCCATCTTTTGTCAGTGGGGTGGAGGTTGAAGCTTCATTCTGGATTTAATGGAAGCCATGTGTTGAAGGCCCCCAGTGTCCCGGGTCCACGTTTAGCAGTCGGCCTTGCTTGAAGGTTGTTAATGATGTTCAGGAGCTTTGGGCCTTAATGTTTTCTAGGAACTTATTGATCTCCGCTACAGCAAGGAGCTTAGAAAAGGTCAAGATAGTGGGCTTGCCCCTATCTTGGGATACAGCAGTAGTTGAATTAGATCTTTTTACTTGTATTTTTGTGTCGGTTACTGGGAGATAAGAATTGTTCAGGGTTAGCAGATGGGCTAACGCATATTTAAAAACAGCTGAGGGCAGTAAATAATGTGGATGTGTATTTTTGTCCACTTCGAAAATGTGTCTGTCATTTATCTTATTGGCGTTGCCGTATTTCAAGGGTGTTTAACCAAACGCAAGGTTAACTGTGTGAAAATGTCCTGACAATGTCAACTGCTTGGCATCTTAATGCCTATTTATGTTGAGTATATGGACATCCATGAAGCCGTGGAATGCAGGTAATCCCAGGTCATTTATCAGTACCTGCTGAAGTGTTGAGCCAAAGTCATTGGGTGAACATGTGCACATACATGGGTATGCATGCTTGCTTGTGCAGTATGGGTGTAAATGCATATGCGTGGAAAATTTGCATATAGGTGCAGGACTCTGCATGCATATTGGTGAGCGTGAGCGTGTCTGTTTGTGTGAGAATGCACGCATGCCCGATAGAGTACTTGAGTGCTCAGCAACAGCATGGTTGCTGAATTATATGCACCTCAGGAGCCGCTAAATTCCACAGGAGCTCTTTTTGCACAAGAAACTGTGCACCTCTTTTTCCATCATTGCTCACCTCGGGTGAAATGACCTCCTCATCGCCCGTGCCAGACTTCCCCGAGCTGAAGACCTCACATTCCACTGGGCATTACACATTGTAGATATCAGAGATGGTAATTGGGAAACATCTAGCAGTAAGACGGCTGTTTCAAGATCAGGCTTCCCCCTTCAGCGACAGGAACTTGTTCAGTAAAAACTGACAGGCAAAGCCTATCCCAGATCAGTGCTTCTATGTTGACTTACTTTATGAATACGGGTGTGGTGCGCCACTCCATATCAAATTTATTTACTTCTTTGCTTGACATTGCGTGAGTTTGTTTATATTCACTTTCTCTTTTGTTTGCACAAAGTTGAGCTGGGGGAGATGTTTACATAATATGAAATATATGACTGGTAAATTATAACCAGAAACTTGAGGACTACATTCATCATATAGTATTTTAGCAGCCTAGAGGTATAAAATTCTGTGTGGGATGCTGAAATGCAGATTAGTCAAAAATTCTGGGGGAATGTCTTCAGATTTCAGGAAAATACACAAAACAATATCTTATAAGTCTCTGCCTCCTCAGGAATAAAATGAAAATTATAATATGCATTATTGATGGGAATAATAGTTATTTGCAATATCAAACAATGCTCAACGAGCTGACATGTTGCTATTTACTGGATGAGCAAAGGGATCGTAGTATTAAATATTAACCTGAAGCACTTTTTTCCTTACCTTTTTCATGACTGCCTAGAACTCCATGTTAACATTTAATTGGATTCCTGGCTGGTTGTCCTGGCAACCCTGGAACCCTTTGATCCTAAGTTGTAAAAAAAAAAAAAAACAGCTCCTCACCAGTCTATCTGACCAGCAGGCAGTGACCCTGAGACAGCTATAGAGAGAGACAGGGCCCGAGCACAGCGGAAATCTTCTCAGGACGTTCTGTACACTGCAGCACGAGTTCGTGAGATAGAGAAAATAACCACAACAAACAGCATGCTGAGTCTTTCAGCCAATCAGATTAGAGCAGGGGGCAAGTGCAATGTGCTTCTTGTGCTTGTAATGCCTTTTGTTACATTGATTGCAATCTTCTTCGATCATTCCCTGTACAGTCCTCTTGCAATGGGCATACTGTTACAAGTCAGTTCACAAACACTTCTCATGTACATTTCTCTCCGTTGTTTCCCCGCCTTGCGCACCGCTAAATCACTTTGGTTTTCTCTCTGACCTTCTCTTTACAAATATCACAATGGGCTCACTCTGATCTGACTTGATTTCAGCAGAAATAGTCCCTCGGTTACAGCATACACCCCTGCTGCACACCACCGCAGCTCAATCCCTCTTCTGGCCGATGGCTATTCTCGAGAAGATGGCAGAATATT